TCCTGGTTATGTCTTTTGGGCTGACTAATGCCCCAGCTGCGTTCATGCACTTGATGAACAGCGTATTTCGGCCGTATCTGGATTCATTTGTTATCGTTTTTATTGATGATATCCTAGTGTACTCGCATAGCCAGGAGGAGCATGCTCAACACTTGAGAGTGGTGCTACAGAGGTTAAGGGAGGAGAAGTTTTATGCAAAGTTCTCCAAATGTGAGTTTTGGCTTGGGTCTGTAGCTTTTCTGGGACACGTGGTGTCCAGTGATGGTATTCAAGTTGATCCAAAGAAGGTAGAGGCGGTGCAGAGTTGGCCCAGACCATCCTCAGCCACGGAGATTCGAAGTTTCCTCAGTTTGGCAGGTTATTATCGCCGGTTCGTCCAGGGTTTTTCCTCTATTGCTTCGCCCTTGACTAAGTTGACGCAGAAGGGTGCACCATTCGTATGGTCGGACGAGTGCGAGGAGAGCTTTCAGAAGCTCAAGACAGCTTTGACCACAGCTCCAGTGTTAGTTTTGCCATCAGCCTCAGGTTCTTACACTGTGTATTGTGATGCTTCGAGAGTTGGGATCGGATGTGTGTTGATGTAGGAGGGTAGAGTTATTGCATATGCTTCTCGTCAGTTGAAGCCTCATGAGCAGAACTACCCCGTACATGATTTGGAGTTGGCTGCTATAGTTCATGCGTTGAAGATTTGGAGGCACTACTTATATGGCGTATCTTGTGAGGTATATACTAATCATCGCAGCCTTCAACATTTGTTCAAACAGAAGGATCTTAATTTGAGGCAGCGGAGGTGGCTTGAGTTACTCAAGGACTATGATATTACCATTTTGTATCATCCGGGGAAGGCCAACGTAGTGGCCGATGCGTTAAGCCGGAAGGCGGTCAGTATGGGTAGCTTGGCGTACATTCCAGTTGGGGAGAGGCCCTTCGCAGTCGATGTTCAGTCTTTGGCCAATCGGATGGTGAGGTTAGATATTTCGGAGCCTAGTCGGGTGTTGGCTTGTGTAGTTTCTCGGTTTTCCTTGTATGACCGCATCAGAGAGCACCAGTATGATGATCCACATTTGCTTGTCCTTAAGGACAGGGTTCAGCACGATGACGCCAGAGATGTGACTATTGATGATGATGGCGTGATGAGGATGTAGGGCCGGATTTGCGTGCCCAATGTGGATGGGCTTCGGGAGTTAATATTAGAGAAGGCCCACAGCTCGCGGTATTCCATTCATCCGGGTGCCGCGAAGATGTATCAGGATTTGAGGCAGCACTACTGGTGGAGGAGAATGAAGAAAGATATAGTGAGTCATGTAGCTCGGTGTCTCAACTGTCAGCAGGTCAAATATGAGCATCAGAGACCCGGTGGTGTACTACAACGGATAGATATTCCCGAGTGGAAGTGGGAGAGGATTACTATGGATTTTGTGAGTGGTCTCCCTCGTACCTCGAAGAAGTTTGATTCGATTTGGGTGATTGTGGATCGGCTGACCAAGTCCGCGCACTTCATTCCGGTGTGTACTACCTATTCTTCGGAGCGGTTGTCAGAGATTTTCATCCGGGAGATCGTTAGGTTGCATGGGGTCCCAGTTTCTATCATCTCAGATAGGGGTACTCAGTTTACTTCCCAGTTTTGGAGGACTTTTCAGCGAGAGTTGGGTACACAGGTAGAGTTGAGCACCGCATTTCATCCTCAGACGGACGGGCAGTCCGAGCGTACCATTCAGATATTGGAGGACATGTTGCGTGCCTGTGTTATTGATTTTGGAGTTCGTTGGCTGAGTTCTTGCAACTTGCAGAGTTTGCGTACAACAANAGCTTTTGGCGACTCCCAGTTAGTGATCAATCAGCTTTTGGGTAGTTACGACGGTTAAGAAGCCTGAACCTAGCCCATATCATGATTACGCTAAAAAGTTGATGGGGTGGCTCGGTGATGTGACTATTCAGCATGTGCCAAGGAAAGAAAATAAGAAGGCTGATGCTTTAGCTGCTCTAGCTTCATCATTAGCCCTGCCTGACCAAGCGCAAGTTACCGTATGCCAAAAATGGGTAGTACCGCCCCCAAATGAGGCTGAAGGTGAAGAAAACGAACTCAAGCATCTTGTTGCTGTTTCTGAAGTTGAGAAAGAAGAATGGCGACAACCCATTATCGATTACTTATGCTATGGGATACTTCCAGAAAATCCGAGGAGAAGGACTAAAATCCGTCGTCGTGCACCTCGCTTCCTTTACTACAAGGATACTCTATACAGAAGGTCGTTCGAGGGAGTACTCTTGCGATGCCTAGGAGAAGAAGAAGCTCTCCAAGCTTTGCAAGAGGCGCATTCTGGGGTATGTGGGTCACACCAGTCTGGACCAAAGCTTCACTTGCATATAAAAAGGATGGGATATTATTGGCCAACGATGGTAAAAGATTGCTTGGACTACGCTCGAAGATGCAAGGCTTGTCAATTCCATGCGAATTTTATTCATCAACATCATGAAGTGTTGCACCCGACTGTTGCATCCTGGCTATTTGATGCTTGGGGATTGGATGTTGTTGGACCACTGCCAAAGTCCTCTGGTGGGCACCTATACATATTGGCTGCAACTGACTACTTCTCAAAATGGGCTGAAGTTGTTGCTCTTAAAGAAGTAAAGAAGGAAAATGTCGCAAGTTTCATCCGAGTAAACATTATTTATCGATTTGGCATTCCTCGTTACATAATAACGGATAATGGAAAGCCATTCGACAATAGGCTGATGAACAAGATTTGTGATCTCTTTGGCTTCAAGCAACGTAACTCTTCGATGTACAATGCTGCCGCCAATGGTCTAGCTGAGGCATTTAACAAGACTCTATGCAACTTGTTAAAGAAAGTCGTCTCCAAATCCAAACGAGATTGGAATGCCGTATGGAAGAAGCTCTATGGGCATATAGGACGACTCACCGCACGCTAACACAGGTGACTCCTTATTCACTCGTTTATGGAGTTGAAGCCTTCTTGCCACTTGAGCGTCAAATACCTTCGTTACGACTGGCTATTCAAAAAGGGATCACTGATGAAGAAAATGCTCGACTTCGATTAGCAGAGTTGGAAGCTCTTGATGAAAAGAGATTGGAAGCTCAACAGAGTCTTGAATGTTATCAAGCTCGATTGTCTCGCGCCTTCAATAAAAGAGTTCGTCCGAGATCCTTTCAAGTAGGAGATCAAGTCCTTGCCATACGAAGACCCATAATTACTTCCCATAAACCTGTAGGGAAGTTCACTTCAAAATGGGATGGGCCATATGTCGTACAAGAAGCTTATTCAAGTGGGGCTTACAAGCTGGTTGATATAGATGGTATGAGAATCGGCCCTATCAACGGCAAGTTTTTGAAGAAGTATTATCCATGAAGTTTCAAGTCATAATGCTCCTCGACGTACGAGCCTAAACTGCAAGTCATGACGCTCCTTGACGCACGAGCCTAAACTGCATGTTGCTACACTCCTGGCCGCAAGAGTATAAACTGTGTACGGCCCAAAAAAAAGAAAAAAAAGTCTGCTAGGTTGAAATCTCGAAAGAGGCGGCCTAGGCAAAAGTTAGGACGTAAAAAAAAAGAAAAAAAGAAAAAAAATCTACCCAGTCTGAACTACGGTATGACTTGATCCTCTTCATCGAGGTACGTAGACAGCTTAGAGTTTCATTCTAAGTTCAGTCGCATGAGTTCAAAAGATACATATTGGCCCAATTGTTGTTCGAATGAAGTATAAAGGAATGTTAGATCAAGCTGAAATGCCATCCTCCTGTTGAACTTTGATCTCATTTGATTTAAAGGGGGCAACCCTCCACGGTAAATTGATATCTTCAATGGGCCGATTTTTGGAGGATGTCAAGTATTTGCAATGAAGTCCAGGGATTCTCTATGTCTTCAGGTTCGCCAAACCTAAGTTCGCCCTCTGCGTTAAAAAAAAGGGGAAGAGAAGAGAGACATCAAAAGGAAACACAAGTATAAGGAAAAGATTGCTTGGCACAACGTATCAAATTCAGTAAGACTTGAACTCAAGATATTTGTGAGAATATGGCTCTTAAATTTCGATTGATGGCAAGTAAGACATCTTCCGATCTCGAGGCTTCCATACCAAGATATGAATTTTTGTGAGACTGCGCAAATCTGGAATTGATGGCGTGGTGCAATGTAAAGTTGATTTCAAAATATTATCTGGGACGATTCAGAAGTTGTTTGATTGAGAATTTTGGATATGTTCTAGGTCTTGAAGTCTAGTTTTCTTGAAATCAAATGGTGTGCAATTTTGATATTTCTACACCAAGATATGAATTTTTTTGGTGAGACTGCACAAATCTGGAATTGATAGCGTGCTGCAATATAAAGTTAATTTCAAAATATTATCTGGGACGATTCTGAAGTTGTTTGGTTGAGAATTTTGGATATGTTCTAGATTTTGAAGTCTAGTTTTCAAGAAATCAAGCGGTTTGCAATTTCGATATTCCTACACCAAGATATAATTTTTTTTTTTGGTGAGACTGTGCAAATCTGAAATTTTTAACGTGGTATTCTTATTTCTCGAATTCAATCCAAGTATGGAAAAATGTGTTTCACAATTAAATTGTTTATACAATTAAGTTACAAGCCATCTTTTAGTGGAAAAAGAAAGGAAGTGAAACTGCATTTTGTCCTTAATTGAAGACAGTGGTGCACGCATATGAAGTTATATGTTAGTAAAAGATATACTAGTTTCAATAGAGAACCAACCTTTGCTTTGTCTGTCAATTTCAATGAGATTTTCTCATTTTGCACAACTCTTTTGCCCCATTTTTTGTCTGCATAACATTGTGACCATTCCATTATCATGTTAGTTGGCTCAATTGATGGAACTTGTTACCTTACACTGACCCCCCCCCCCCCCTCTTGAATTTGTATGTTGCTATTTTTGGATATCATTTCTTGATAATGGAAGTAGATTTAAATGCCTATGTCAACTATTATAAAATATTTTTGCATCATGTTTTACGTAGGAGATCATTGATAAAAAAGTGCTTCAGTTTTGCATGATTTGTAGAGAGCACCACTGAATCACCTGTTGTTATAGTATTATTGGCATTCAACCTGTTTATACTTCAATGCTTTGCTGATATGACTCAAGCAATCTATCTTATGGAATGTGCTAAACCTTCTCTTTACCATGTTGATTTATTTTTCTGTGTGAAGTTCCATTGATTAACATGATGTTCTTTCTCATTTTCACAACTATGACAAAGACTATCCCTTTTCACGTTCCCCCTTTTGTTCCAGCGAGGAGCCTTCTGCTGAAGTTGTAACTGATTTTGTTCCTCGTACGCAATATTACTATGAACCAGGAACTGGATTAATGGTTACTTGTTAACTTAAGTTTTTCTCTGTTACTTATTACCTTTTTGGAAAAGAGTAGGTGATGCTTTATGTGATTTATTTCCTGATTTAAATCTAGATTAGTCTTTCTTTTTCACAGTTCTTGTTGAGCACTCTATAAGTTTTATCCATTACTTGTATTCTCTTATCCATTGCTTACTTGAATTTTCAAGAATAGAGAACCGTTTTATGGACATAGCACTTTAATTTTGCTATTTTCATGTTTTATTTAACAAGAAAAGTCTTTAAAAAGACCAGCTACTCAAGATGAGGTATTTGAGCATACACATATGAAGAAGCTAAAGGATGGAACAAAGACAACTTGGATCGAGCCACGGGCCGAGACAACCTATGTAAGATTTCAAGTTACTTTTTAATACTTTTCATTAATTAAATTTATTCATATAATAGTTGTAACTTTTTTGCAGAATACTTTCAAACAATCCTTGGAGGAATTTGTTCAAAGCCAACCAACTGATGATCAAGGAAAGCCAATCCAACCATCCCAGGAGGATTATATGGACTTGTGAATTAAGGCGGCTGGTGGCGTACATAAGGGAAGAGTTTACGGCCTTGGATCAGAGTTTAGTTCTAGTCGTCGGTCTTTTGGATATGGTGGCTCTTCTTCCTCAAGGTCCTCGATTAATCAGGATGAGTTTGAGCTATTGAATAGAAGAATAGCAGAGATCACTGAGTTGTATGCACATAAAAGGGCTGCGCGGGAGGAGGAGGCAAAGCGAATGGAGGAGGAGGCAAAGCGAAGGGAGGAAGAAGATAGGCGGGGGGAGGAAGATGAGAGGCGGAGGGATGAAGAAATGAGGCGAAAGGATGCTGCATTTACACGTGTCACTGGTGACGTTGAAAGCCCAGCTAAACTACCTCTTAGCATCTGGTGGATTTCCTATGTCACGTTCTCCATCACACTCTAACAAGACTAAGGAGTAGTTTCTTTTATTAATATGATTTTGGGTAGGACTATGATGTTGGATGTTATGTATCAATTGGATAAGATTGAATGCTGAATTTCTTATTTGAATGTTAAGTTGCATTATTGGTTCCTAGTATTTTCAGTTTTTGTTGGTTGTTAATTAACGAAATGGATCGGAAGATGCTGATCTTTGTGTGTGAATGTTTAATTGTATTTAGATTGGTGGTTGTATTTTTTTGTTTGGCAGGTGGTGCAGTATATTTACAGCATTGTGCACAAAAATAATTTCCAGATTTCCCACGAAATTGCCACTGATTCCGTTGAAGGTTCGTCATTTAGTTGCAGAACTTGCATGTTTCCCACTGATATCGGTGGGAAAGTTCATACGATTTTTCATAATTTGCATTTATCCCACTGATATCGGTGGGAAAGTTCATACTTTTATTTTCAGAATTAACACATTTCACACGGATATCGGTGGGAATGTTCACACTTTATTTTTCAGAACTTGCATATTTCCCACCGTTATCAGTGGGAAAGTTCATACTTTATTTCCAGCTCCCTATGTATTTTTCCCACCACTTCCATGGCTAATGTATTAAAATTAATAAAAATTACTAATAATAGTTCCCACTGATTGTTGGTGGGAAATTTCATTATTTTTCCTATTAAAGTTTCTCTGGGAAACCCGTGGGAAATTTCCCACCGCGTCTCTGGGAAGATATTTCCCACCAGGCATTTTCCTGGTGACTCATTTCGGTGGGAATGCGGTTTGAAAACTCGATTTTCCCACCGGTTTCCCACTGATTTCGCCGTGGGAAATCCATGTGTTTCTAGTAGTGAGTTGGTTTCAAAATATTATCCGGGGTGATTCTGAAGGTGTTTGATCTAAGTTTTGGATATATTTTAGATATTGAAGTCTAATTTTTGAAAAATCAAACGGTTCATTATTTGGACTCTCCCACGACAAGATATGAATCTTTTGTTACAAGCGCGTAAAGCTGAAAATTATACGACTAAGATAAAAGTCGGACAATGTAAAGTAAAAGAGAAGCTGAAATATTTAAGCCCTCGAAGTCTCCAAGTTGAAGTCTTTAAGTGTATTCAAGTTGAAGTCCCCAAGTTGAAATCTTCAACCCCATCGGTCTTCAAGTTGAAGTCTTCAAATCCGCTAATCTTCAAGTTGAAATATTTAGGCCCTCCAAGTCTCAAAGTTGAAGTCTTCAAGTCCGTCGGTCTTCAAGTTGAAGTCTTCAAATTCGCCAATCTTCAAGTTGAAATATTTAGGCCCTCCAAGTCTCAAAGTTGAAGTCTTCAAGTTCGTCGGTCTTCAAGTTTCAGTCTTCAAATTAATCGGTCTTAAGTTGAATTGTTTAAGCCCTCCGAATCTTCGAGTTGAAGTCTGCAAAGTCCGCCAAACCTTCAAAGTTTTCCAAGTGTTCAAGTTGATGTCGTCTTCGAGTTGAAGCTTTATAACTTTTCAATCTTAAGGTGGACATATAAGTCCCTTTGCACCTTAAGTTGGCCTCTTCGCGGGTTTGTCCTTAAAAGGAACTATAACTTTCCAATCTTAAGGTGGACATATAAGTCTCTTTGCACCTTAAGTTGGCCTCTTCGCGGGTTTGTCCTTAAAAGGAACTATAACTTTCCAATCTTAAGGTGGACATATGAGTCCCTTTGCACCTTAAGTTGGCCTCTCCAATAGTCGGGCCACATTGAGAGTAATCTCTCCGGTAGTCGGGCTATTTTGAGAGTAATCTCTCTGGTAGTCGGGCCACATTGAGAGTAATCTCTCCGGTAGTCGGGCCATTTTGAGAGTAATCTCTCCAAGAATTGGGCCACATTGAGAGTAATCTCTCCGGTGGTCGGGCCATTTTGAGAGTAATCTCTCCAAGAATTGGGCCACATTGAGAGTAATCTCTCCAAGAATCGGGCCATTTTGAGAGTAATCTCTCCAAGAATTGGGCCACATTGAGAGTAATCTCTCCAAGAATCGGGCCATGAAAGTAATCCCTCCGATATTTGGGCAGGGATGAGTACCCGTCCCCTCACATCCCAAGATTGTCTTCTTCATGCATGGATCATCTCGTTAAACAAGAACATATCTTTCTCGCTTGACCTACAAAAAAAATGACAAAACAAGAAAAGCACAAGGAAAGAAGAAGAAATTACCTTCGCGTTAGTGCTTCCGAGTCCACAAAAATAGACTCAAATAGCTTGCAAATACTGCGAATTAATGCTCAACAAATACGAGCATATGGCTTTATATAGATCTTCATAGATGGCCTGCTATAGCATATTGCCGATGTGGGATCGAATTAAAGGCGGCAAATTAATTTCCAACATGGATTTGGTGGCCAGATTATTCCGTATCCAAATAGACGTCAACTAAAGGCTAAAGCTATTTGATTTCGAATTGGAATTGGATAGTGGGTTTTTCAGCTATCAAAGTCTACAAAAGCTATTCTAATTGGAATTGGACAGTGGTCACGTGTGGTTATTAGATTCCATTAGCAAAAGAAATTATGACTATGAAATTATTTTGGTTCAAAATTTGAGATGTTATTTCTTAAATAAGAGTTATGGCCCATTCATAAGTTCTTTACCTAATTGGACAAAATGACTTACCTCAAGTTACGTTTGAAGGAGGCATGAATAAGTAAATCCATGAAATCATTTGCAAGAATAAAAAGGCGTTAATGGCCTTTGTTAATATTTCAAGCCTAGTCAATTATATTGACACTCTGACAAGTCTTGAAGTAGGGGGCATTTGTAGACGTTTAAATTTTATTGGATTTAAATCCATAAAATAATTTGGATTATATTTTAAAATTCAAGATATATTAGTCGAAATAAATATTATGGACTAATATGATTGAATTAATTATATAAGTCCAATATATATGGATTAAATAAATATGTCTTAATCTATTGGGTTAGCCCACTTAATTGGGCTAAAGTGATGAGCCCACTTCATTAAGCCCAAGATGACATCTTCCTAGAGGCCCGGTTTGGTGCCACGTGTCAAATGACGTGGCGCGCCAAGTCAAGCGGAAGAGCCAATATGATCATGCCACGTGTCAAAATGACAAGGCATGCCCAGTCACACTGAAAGGCCAATGAAATCGTGCCACGTGTGCAAGTGACATGTTCTGGCCAATCAAATGCGGCCATGTCACACTTTAATTTGATTGGTCGGAAAGAGTTTGTTCTTATCATAACTCTTCCCTTCCACAACTATAAATAGGGGTCTTCATAACTCAGAAAAGACACCAGAAGTTATAACAAGAAGCAAGAGAGAGCTCGTGGATCAAACACCGCAAATTTCTCTACAAGTTTCAAGCTTCAAGCAATCAAGTTCAAGTTCAAGAAATAAAGTTCAAGCTCAAGAACGAAGAATGAATCAAGATCAAGTTCAAGCAATCAAGCTCAAGTTAAAGCTCAAGAACAAGATCATCGTTCGTGGAAACAAATATAGATTCAAGATCAAGCTTAAAGACCCTTGAATTTATTTACTATTGGAAAGAAGAATCAGAGGATTCATAGAGATTGTACACTCAAATATTCAAAATAAAATACTACGATTGTTGCAATATTTTTCGGTCTTGATTTTATTTTCTCGACGCAATTTATTATCTACAAACACAATGATAAATATGCCCTTCTCCATAGCTCTTTTCCTAAACTATCAATGCACTTTATAATTGTTTTTGGACCGATCAGGAGGATTCAGTATTCATCATAAACTACCAAGTTTTAATCTGGTTGCCAGCTCGCCGCAGCTTTCATCGGGGTTTCGAACCGGCAATGTGAGCAAGGCCAAAGTCAGAGGCGGACCCAGAATTTTTACGCGATGGGGCACATTATTCTGCTCAACCAATGCCCCCTAAAGACTTTTAGTGTTCAGGGTGCCAACTGCTTTAAATTAACTATTTTCAAGGTATATACATGTAAATATACAGGAATTCATCCGAAGTTTATGGGGTTCGGTGACCCCTCATCCATACACATGGGCCCGCATCTGCCCACAGTAGCAGAAGTTACCTCAAAAGACTTACAAACATTTAGAATTAATGTTGACTTAGCTAAATATAGGGCACAATAAAGGAGAAAAATCCATATAGGTAATACCTACTAGTTGGACACATATTTTAAACTTAGTATAGAACTTCTATTTACACTTTAATTAATTCATTTTGATAATGATGATGATATTAGTTGAGCTTAATAAAACGAATGAGTATTCATATCGCTGACTCTAACTAGTTTAGGGCGGAAGCATAATTATCGTTATAGTTTTTTTATTTGAACCGATCAAATCGTACATATTCAAGACTCATGTCAACTGTACTCTATCAAGGAATAACAAAATAGAAAATGATAAAGAAGTACTAGTAAAATATTTCCAATCTTTTGAATTGAAAACTTGAGGCGGCTTTTCATTACAACTAAAAACAATCATTTGGCGCAAAGGACTAGTTTAAAATCACATAATGACCCTGTGATAAAAAATTTCTATATGCTTGTGGTTTTTTCTTTAATTTCCTGATGTTTCGAAGAATAAAAAAGAAACGTTCAAGAAAAAATTTCGAAATGAAAAATTAATGAGGTGCTTAACCTACGTGTTCGTCCCCTCAAACATAGGGGAAAAAAATCATTGCACTTCTAATATCAACAAAAAAGTTTAGCGAAAAAAAGATTAACATACAAGCTCTACACGTTGCAAATCCCACTGCCTCCCCTTTTCCATATTTTGTCTGTTTCTTCCGTGATATTGTCAAAAGGAATATTAAACTGCACTTCGATAAAAGTGATACTCCGATCCATTTTAAGCGTTTTTTTGCTATTTTTACACTAATTAAAAAATTCACCTTTTAACATTGAATAATAACGTACTTGACATATTAACGTTAATTTGTTTATTGCAAATACAACAAATACTCCTAGGCTCTTTACTTCGAGGGCAACTTTAAAAAAAAGTTAATTCTTTCTTGATATTTAAAAAAATTAAATATTATGAACCATAGAAAAAATCAAAAAATAATTAAAATGGACCGGGGGAGTATACATATATTGAATGCTTTAACAATATACATATATTGTCAAAATATATTCTTCTCAATTATTTTAAGAGATTAAGCAGACACGTTATTTGAATAGAACTTATGAGGTTTGACCATAGACCCATAATTTTTAGAAGACTTTGATCGTGACAAAAGTTAGAGAAAATGATAAATAATGGTCTTTTGAAGATAAGTTTAAACTAGTCCTCTTAAACATATTATTGAGCAATTTTGGTATTTTAAGTTTGTCAGATATACTAACACTTTTGATATTCATCAAATGTTTAACAAACACCATTCTTATTTTTTTTATGTCAATGTCGGTGACTGGAGATAACTCTCTTCAATTATTCTTGAGATGGGAGGGAGCAGGGTCAACTTCTATTATGCTTGTTGGAAGGTCCGTCCGGATCTCTTCCCGGGTCAACCCATTCAATATCCGAGAGAGGGTATGCTTTTGGCGGCCACAGAGACGGCAGTTGATATGTACTTGGAAATAAGCAGATTATAGATAAGTTTTTTCATGCCTCGACGCTTCCTCGGTTCGTTCGGAAATCATGGTAGTCTTTTCATGTCAAAGAAAGTTTTTGAGAAAAGAAAAAGCTTTCCCGCCAATCACTACCCTTAGCGTTTGATGATCTTAAATTGAGAGCTAATTAAGAGTTCGTTGGGCCAAATTGCAAAAAAAAAAAAAAAATGCTTATTTGAAAAGTATTTTTGCTCAAACGTGAATTTTTTAAAAAATATTTTTGGATAGTTATAATTTGCATTTGGTTAATAGTACTTTTTGCGATATTTAATAAATAAATTGTGTTTGATTAATTTTTGTAAAAAGTACCTTTGAATGTCAAAGTACAAAAAGACGATAAATATTCAGTTTACAACTAGTATTATTTAAAGGAGAAATGAATTTCAATATTTTTTTTTTTTGGTAACTAACCTTTTTGTGTATTAATCACCAGTAACTTTTACATATCCATAGCCTGCTTATAACTCAAAAGCTATCTAACTTACAAAATCCAAAACCAACACTAACTTTCAATATCAAAACATAAGATGCTGCACCATACTACTAATCCCAGTGATGGCTCGTAAATTACATATGTAGGCTATCTTGCGTGCAATACTCAGCTCCTCTGCTTCTCTTTTCAAACAGCCGCATGTTCCTTTCTATCCAAATGGAGTGAATTATCTCAACATACACCATCTTGAAGACTTATGCTCATTGTGTTTTACTCTTAGCACATTATACAACCCAGTGCATATGTTGTTCCCAAGTATCTCTAGCAATATCCTATCTTTGCATCCATTGCAGGATTGTATGCAACAATTCCTTGGCAAATCGACATTTGACAAATAAGTGTTCCCTATTCTCATCATGGTCTTGACATAAAGAGCATCTGGAATCTACCGCTAGTCCCCATTATACAAACCTATCTGCAGTCAGCAATCTCCTATGTAGTTGTAGCCACATGGTAAATATACATTTTGGCATGGCATTATTTTGAAACATCGGGTATTTCTAGTTAACTCTTGGTCTATCTTCCGGCAGCTGCAAGTAGAATCTTCTGATAATACTCTTTCTTGGATGATGATGATGATGCACCTGTTGTAGTGTTGTTCTAGCATTTAGGATCTGTCTTACCATCCAACTTGCTTGTTGGGGAATTGCCATATCTTTTAAGTGTTTGTCTTTGATGTAGTAAGCATGTATCCATCTTATCCATAGTCGATCTTACTTATTTGCTACATCCCAACAGACTTTAGCTAGAGCAGCCTTGTTCCATAGGTGCAATATATCAAGTTTAGGCCCCCACTAGATTTAGGTGTACACATTCTATCCCAAGCTACTAGAGCCTTTTTTGTGATCACATTTACTCCAGACTAGGTGTAGCTTCTGCAGAATGAATCAATCATCTTCAAGACCTTTGAAGGCAAAGTAAACAGCTGCGACCAATATTTCAATATTTAGTATAAAAGAGTTTAATTAATTTTTATTTTTATTAAATTTGAACATATAAAAAATAAAGTATAATATAGTTTAAAGGTCTTAATCAATATAAAATATAGTTATCCAAACTAATAATATTTGGTATCCTACATTACTTATTATTACATGATAATTGAAATATATCAAAATACAATCATTCAGATATATTAAAAATCTGCTTCATAAGAGGATCTATTTATATGGGAGAGACTATTTCAAAGAAGAATAGGAGAAGGAGAATAAAAATACGATATAAATAAATTAAGCAACAAAGACAAATGGGATGATCGAAACAAAAATGGAATAATTTAAATTAAAAAAAATTATAGTAAGGATACTTTTGTCTTTAATTTTTTTTCCTACTTCTTAAAAGAAGTTAGAATTTATTGCATCTTCCAAAAACAAAAAAACTGCTTTTGGTGCTGCTCTAAAGCACTGCTCCTTCTTGGCCAAAAAAATTTCAAAAAAAAAAAAAAGAAATACCTTTTTACAAAAATATAATCCAAGACCACTCAATCAGGTAGTGGGTAGTTGATGGTTGACCAATGCTTTTGCATTAGCATAATTCCAATATTGCACTTTTTGGACCATAACAAGCAAAAATATTTAAAAATAAATTTAAACTTCAAAACTGACAGTATTAACATTTTTAGTATTCTATTTAACTGCACTTATTTTTCTTTTTAATAAAAGGACAAAAAAATCATTCATAGTCCATACGCTAATTCCAAGTTGCTTATTTTTTTTAGGTAATTAATCAATTTTATATTAATCACCAATAAAACTGTATAAAATCATAGCATTGCTTACACAATTAGCTATCTCATTACAACTCTATCTTCTATGTCATATGATCCTCTGTACACTCAAACAAAACTATAACTATGTACTAAACTCTGAATGCCAGCAGTAGCTCTGATGTTGCATATGTATGCAACCTCACGAGCAATAGTAGTCCAGTCACGTGCCCTTTTCTCAAATATCCTCAGATTTCTCTCAATCCAAATTACATGTGCTATTTCTGCATATACCAATCGGAATATCTTTGCTCTTTTGGTCTTGCCTTTAGCATGCTGCAAACTCCATTCAAGATGCTGTACCCAGTTCTGTGTCCTTTTATATTCATGTTGCATCCATTGCATAATCTTCATCCACAGGTTCTTGGTATACTCACAAATGACAAACAGATGGTCTCTATTTTCCTCATGGTTGTGACATAGAGTACATTGTGTATCTACTGTCAACCCCATTTTGTCAATCTATCTGTGGTGGGAAGTCTTCCATGTAGTAACATCCACATAGTATACTGTGCGTTAGGCCTCGCAAAGTTCTGAAACATTAAGCATTTCCATGGCACTCGAGGTCTTTGTCCCAGTAGATGTAGATAGATGTGTCTAGTCATACTAGTGCCCTGTTTGCTCCTCTGTACCAAATTCTAATCTGTTCTAGCATTGAAAATTTGTCTGATCATCCAGCAAGCTTGTTTAGGAGCTGGCATTTGCAAGAATTGCTGTCCTCTGATATAATAGGAGTGAATCCACTTGATCCACAGTCTATCCTGCTTGGCTTCCACATCCCAGTACACTTTAGTTATAGCAGCTCTATTCCATAGATGAATGTTCACCAGATTTAATCCTCCACAAGACTTTGGAGAACATATCTTTTCCCAGGATATCAGTGCCTTCTTAGTGATGGTATTGGTGGCAAACCATATATAGCTCCGACAATATGGATCAATACTTTTCAACACCTTGACAAGTAATGATAATAACTGGGCCCAGTAAGCCTGGAATCCAAATATCACACTTTGCACTAATTGTACTCTTCTTGCATAGGATAGTTTCTTAGCTGTCCATGAAGATATCCTTGCCACTATCTTTTGTATGAGTGGTTGCCACTTAATCATTGATATCTTTTTTGTTGACAGTGGTATGCCTAAGTATTTGAAAGGCATCTCCCCTTGTCCATATCCCAGATGTTGCAGTATTCTATTTCTTTCAACACTTGATACCCCTCCAAAGTACATTGAACTCTTTCCCATATTGGCTTGTAACCCTGATGCTTGAGGAAACTAATTAAAGCATCTATGCATGGCAGTCACTAATGTTAAATCACCTCTTGCAAATAACAATAGATCATCAGCAAAGCTTAAGTGTGTGACACCCATTCTAGCACATTTTGGACGATATTTGAAGCCTTTTTCCCCCCTTTAGACCATTGAGACTTCTGCTTAGATATTCCATTATAATAGCAAATAGAAAGGGGGATACAGGGTCCCCTTGTCTAAGCCTTTTTTTTGTATCAAAAAGGGTAGTGATCTCTCCATTGATCAAGATGGTGTAGTTGACTGTTTTGACACACTCCATAATCCAGCCAATAAATTGTGTAGGGAATCCCAAATTATCCATTACCTGTTTCAAAAATATCCATTCCACTGAGTTATAGGCGTTTTGTAAGTCAATCTTAATCATACACCTATCAGAGATGTGCTTCCTTGTTAGGCTTTTGCCAATTCATGGGCCAGTATGATGTTATCTGCAATTCTTCTCCCAGGAATAAATCCTGCCTGATTTTCACTAATGATGCAAGCAATAACCTTCTATAGTCTTGATGATAATACCTTAGAGATGATCTTATAGAGTAAGGTATAGCAAGCAATAGGTCTAAAATCCTTCACATTGACTGGTTTGTCAACTTTTGGTATTAGTGTAAGAGTAGTGCAGTTTAGAGCCTTATACAATCTACCAGTAGTGAAAAATTCTTTGACAGCTACACAGACCTCCTCCTTGATAATTTGCCACGCTTTATTGAAAAAATATGCATTTATACCATCCACCCCCTGGTGACTTGTCATCCCCAATACTCTGCACCCCTTCATAAACTCTTGATTGGTGATTTCTGCACACAGCTGAATTCTTTGCTGCTGAGATAGTGTAGGCCCTTACTTCATGATCTCCCTGTTGATGGCAAGAAAATTTTGGGCAGCAGACCCCATCAGTGATTTATAAAACTCCATGATTTCATACTTGATCATTTCAGCATCATTCAAATTATGTCCATCTGGTGATATGAGTTCTTTAAGTTTAATCCACTTTGCTCTTGACTTTTATTTTAGGACACTTTCCTCTATAAGAGACCATTTCTCCAGCTGATGAAGGATATTTTTCTCCTGATCCAGTAGGCCATCACTGTACTGTGTGTTAATCTTCTCTTGAATATCTTGAAGTTTTCCTCGAGCCCTGTCAATCTTGGCAGTAATAGTTCTAAACTCCTCATTGTTTAAAGCCTTATGCCTAGGCTTTAGAGCTTTCAACTTCATCCAAATATTCTTCATTCTTCTACTTGTCACATTCTGCTCCTATATTTCCTGCACTAGTTGTAAGAATCTACCATGGTCTGCCCATACATTTAGGAATCTGAATGGAATTTTACCAGGCCTTGTACTGGTGGAAATTGATAGTAGCATAGGTGAGTGATCTGACATTTGAGGTAATTCATATTCAGTTTGCACATGCCCCCATTGCATCATCCATTCAAAATTTTCAAAGATTCTATCAATCCTGCTACTGATTCTATCAGTTCCATATTGTTTCTCTGACCAAGTGTAGTAGTCTCCCTTCCATATCAATTCATTCAGTTGCAGAGTTTTAATGCAACTAGCAAAGTCTTGAGTTTCTGCATATGTTATAGGATTGCCCATTAGTCTGTCTTGGGGATAAAGCACTCCATTGAAGTCTCTTCTAATTAACCAAGGTGTGGTTATGCTTGTAGCCAAATTATGGATTTCTTTCCAGAGTGCTCTCCTTTGTTCAACTGTATTGTATCCATAGACTACGGTCATTAAGCAATCTATCTTCCCTAAGTTGTCTGTAAGCTGACAATGTAAGAATTGTGCCACAGCTTTTATTAACTTCACAGTATACCATCTTGGATCCCATACCACCCATAGTCTACCATTTTGAGCATGTTGGTAATTATTTATCACTTCCTATTCAGGTATAATAGCTTTGGCGACTCTCGTGAAATTATGCTCTTTCACTCTAGTTTCCATCAAGCCAGCTAACTTAACATTTTTATTTTTGATGTTGCTAGACAGTTCTTTCTGCTTATACCTCTTATTGACTCCCTTCAAATTCCAGAATAGCCAGTTAATCAACATGTTAAATGGCCTCTTCCCCTATCAAGGGGTAATTGCTGCACATCCCCTGCCCCGCATGGTAATACCTCAAAAGGATTTCTCAGCTTAACTGCAGACAACAAAGAAAAGTTTGTTAAGTTAAACTGAGGACTGTTTTCCACTTGTTTTCCTCGATTGCTTTCATTAGGCATAACCTCAATTGGACTATTGTTCATTTGCCTTTGGCTATGTAAAATAGAGTGTGACATTTTCTGTTCCACTGGTGCCTGCTGTTGCCCCTGCTACTCAGCTAATGTAGCTTGTACAGGTAGATCATCACTTTACTGAACCTTGCCTTTAGTTCTCCATTCTATAGTCACTTTCTTATTTTCCCTTATTTTCCCTTTCTGATTAATTTGTTGTTTAGTCTCCCGCTTATTAGTGTCACCATAGGAGCACATGTGTGGCCAACCTTTTGACATTGCTCACAAAACTTAGGTTTCCACTCATAGTAAACTCCTTATAGAAATTATTTGCTCTTTGGATCTCTAACACATACTTCATCTGGCAGTGGTTTAGTCTCATTAATCTCTATCAACATTCATGCAAATGAGATTCTGATTTTCTTAGGGTTGCATTTATCAGCAAAAATAGGTGTCCCAATCGCACTAGCTATTCTACTCAATGAATCCACTCCCAGTAGTTCATAGGCAGTTTTGGAAATTTACCCACAGGGGAATTTCAGTGGGAAATTCCTCATTCAAATCAAAATCTAAGGTTCAAGGCTTCAAAATTGTAGGCCTATTATTAATGGTATAAGGTCCAGAATAATAGATCTCTTGCATGTCAGCCTCCGTGTGAAATCTGATTATGTAGTATCCTTCCTCATACAGAAACACATCTGGTTCTCTAACACTTGCCCAATTAACACTTATATATCATTTCATAGTGTTGTACCCCGGAGTCTCACCTAAGATTTAAATAATTAGAGCACATCTCCACTTCTCAGTCTCAGATTCAACCTCATCTTTGTCCAATTGAACAACTATTTGGCCATTGACGATTAGCGGAGGAATATATGACAGAGACATACCATTTGCTACAGATCCGTTCTTCTGAAATAGGTTAGACCATGGTTTAGGTTCTACATCTTTTGTCGTCAGAGTAGGATTTGTTGAGCCTCGTTCTTCCTCAGTAGTTGCTGTTGTTGCATTGGTTACTGTAGCATGCACAACTTGCTCCTTTGTTGTATCCTCCGGTTGTGTTCTCGATGTAGTCGACGGAGGTGTTGTGAGATCTAGCTTTTTTGAGACTCTTGAGCTAGATGCACCTCCAGTGTTCCTCCATTGAGCCCTAGTATCGGAATCTAGGTCCAGATCTAGTGCTTGTAGAGCATTTTCTTTCCTTGCTGCTTTGCTTCGTGAGGTGATAGAGCTTACTATGCTAGTAATTACGACTTTTTTGGGCCTTCCTCGTCCTCTTCCCCTCCCTCTCGCCATGGATGACAAGGTTCAGCGCATGTTAACTAACGTGAGCTGAGAGCACTTCAAGTTGCATAATTGCGAATTTGTAAACTCAATTATAATAGTTTAACACTTCACGTTTATCAATTATTTATAATCAACTAACAGACACAAAGTCAAATTTCTAACAGCACTTTATACTCAGCTCTGCTAAATTTGAATTTAACTAGAACAAACCATCACTTGATGGTTTAACCATTTATATTTAGAAACATTCAATTCCTTCCTTGAAATTAAAAGTACACATATGTGATTTGCTAATAAAATATGAGAAAATATTTACTAACAATTTATTTTTTGTTTTGTCTTTTGATATCACCGTAAATTTACCGGACATAACCTCACATATAAAGAACACTTGATATATATGGCACAATCTTGCAACTTGCAAAGATTATTATGTCAAGTGGGTGAATTAGGTTATAGTCATTTCTTTAACAAACTTAACCAGAAAAAGAAAAACAGTATCAGGCCGTGTGAAGCACGAATACACCATCTAGTATTAATAGAAGATCGTTCTATTAAGCTAATCAAAGTTGCGTGTTAAGTATTAAACATAGGTCACTACATATATATGTTCCGTTTGATTTGTCGGAAAGAACGTATAATC